CAGGCCCTTGGCCAGCCCCAAAGGAGTGTAGAGTTTGGAAGTCTAAGCTGTAGAGGTTACAAATGGGCACCAATGCTGTCTTTGGGACAGAGATCACAAATCTAGTTCATTGAGAAGACCCTTTTCAGAATGTAGCCTAATGCCAGGAGCAGCAAGTAAGGAGCTAAAAGAATTCAGTTCAAGCCCCTTCTGTCATGGTTGGCTATACCTTTGGCGTCTTAGTTTTATTTCTGTTTTCTTTAAAATGGAGGTTGTGGCTGGGTGCTGGTGGCTCACACTTGTAATCCTTGCCACTCAGGAGGCCAAGATCTGAGGACTATGGTTTACAGTGCAGGCCAAAAAAAAAATTGAGAATTTTATTCCCAATTAACCCAACAAAAAACCTGAAGTGGAGCTGTGGATCAAATGGTAGAATGCAGCCTTGAGAGAAAAAGCTAAGTGACAGTGCCTTAAATAAACAAATACACAAATACTCAAATGAAATATAAAATGGTGTTAGTAACTGCCACTGTGTAGTAGCTTATAATACTAGGAATAATATCTGTAGCACGTTGTCTGGTGCACAGTCAGCATCTTATCAATAGGAATATTTATTTATTATTAAGTGGTATTGCTGGGGCTGAAGAGACAAGAAAGGTAAATCAAAGCATCTGTGTTCTCAGGGGCTCCCACAGGAGTAGGGGAGACAGAAATACACACATGAGTAACTTTTAATCCTGGGCAGGCTGTGATAAGTGCTGTAACCAGCAGCCCAAACAATGCAGTAGAGAATAGGGGAGGGAACTATTCCAAGTCTGAGGCTAAAAGAGCTTTGTGTTTTGGGGGTGATGGTGAGGAAGGCGTGGGTTAACCTGAAAGGAAGGAAATCTGGAAGAGAAGTAGAGAGACCCACTGGTAGGAGTTCTGGGTTCCCCAGCTCCCACCTCTCCCCATTTTGTCAAAGATCTTGGAGCTCTGCACTGCCCTCCTCCCCCATCCCTTCCCACTCAGGACCTCTCTTCTGCTCCCTGTACTCCATGGGCTCAGCTAGTAGCCTGCCTGAAAACCCTGGCAAACCTTAGGGAATCTAGTGGGAAAGACAAAGGATCCAACACCAGAGCAGCATCAGAGTCACAGCGCTCTAGACCCCAGTGTCACACCATGGGCCTGGGTATATCCAGGTGTCCCTGGGTATCATGTTTTAAAGAAAAGGTTAAGCAAGATTTGCCCCACAAAGCATATACACCTCCCTGCCTGCCTTTCTTGGTCTCTCTTAGTCTGTCTCTGCCCACCTTCTCATCTACCATGGATGGAATCGTTTGTACTCCATGAATATAATTGTCTTGCCAGCCTTTCTTGGTGCCCTGTTGAACGTACCTTATGCATCCTGAGCTGTTTCTAACCAAGAACTTCTTTCTCTCCTCTAGTCCCTGTGTGGGTGTGTCCCTGTGTGGGTGTCTGTCTTTGTCTCTAGTTCACAGCATCATTTGTGCCTCCATCAGCCTGCCGTGTGTGTGTGTGTGTGTGTGTGTGTGTGTGTGTGTGTGTGTGCAAGCTCATGTATTCCTGCACATGTGTGTATGTCCCTCTGCCTGACTTCACAGTGGCTGCTTAAGAGTTTGTCCCTTCTGTGCCAGTGCCTGAAGACTTGGGGGCCCAAAGTAGGTGAGAATTCACTTTAAAAGCCCAGATCAGAAGTGTCTGGCTCTGAGGTCAGGCTGCTGATTTCAGGCTGCAAGGGAAGCTAGTCCGTTTTCACTTGCTGCCTGTGGCCAGGCCTGTACTGGTTCCCTCCCATCTGACTCCAGGCTCCACAGCTAGCAGTTTCCTTGCATTGCTGGACATGGGTTCAGGTTCAGGGGAGGGACTGAGCTGTCACTTCCAGTTCAGGACGGGCTCAGTTCAGCATTTATGGCGGAAGGCTAGGCACTTAGGAACTCAGAAATGTGCTCCAGTGCATATATTGCTGCTTGCTAGGCCCCCTGTTGTGGTTGTAAGTGCCTTCTTGACTCAGGACATTCCAATATTTCCTTTGTGCCTGCCCTTCCTGCTAATGAGCTGTTGTGACTTGTTGCCTTGTCTGACACGTGCACCCTCTGTTCATCTTCTAGGTGGCCTGTGCGTCCTCACTTCCCCCCACCATTCCCCACAATTGAATCAGAACCTTCCAGAATCAGCTTGTACTCTCTTTCCCAGCTCTGTTCCTCTCCCCTTTTTCAGGGAGCTTCCCAAGACTGAATCCATGTCCTGCTTACCCCACTGCCCCTCCTCCTGCTCTGTCTCTGCCTGTGCTGAAGTGATGGGGGGCGGGGGAGGCTCTACCTTCCTGGTAGGGGTTGTATAAGACATGACTGTCGACTTAGGCATTAGTTCATTCGCACTCCATCCATCAGCAGGCTGACATGTAACATCTGTGGTCAGTCAGGCCCTGTGCCAGTCTGCCCCTGGACCCGGTGGGGAGGAGTGGGGAGTGCACCACAGTCCCTATTAGGGCAGAAGTGAGAAGTGGGTAGATGGGCCTGTGAGGGAATGCAGGTGAGTCATGGAAGACCTCCCAAAGGAGTCTAGTCCACACTTGTCATTGTCCAGGTGAGCAAGTAAAGACCCACAAGAGGAAGTCATGCACCCAAGGTCACCCCATCCCTCAGTCAGGCCAGATCATGATCTCCTGACTCTCACCAAGTGCTTCCCACCCCCACCCTGCCACAGAGCCAGCCTCCCCCTCACTCCAAGTAGACAAGGAGCCTGCTGCTCACTGCCCTCTGGAGACTTCAGCCAGAGACCAGGGTGTCCAGGCTCCATGCAGGAAAGCTATGAATATAAATTGCATCTCTGGCCAGGCTCAATGGCCACCTCACTCTCAAGCCCTTGACTTGGGCTCAGGAGGCTGTGGGAAGGAGAAACGTGAGTGTGGAGGGCTTGCAGCTTGTAACTGCACTTGAGAAATGCGCAAGGATATGAATAAATTTGAATAATAATGAAGGCAATGCTTGAATTAATAATGCTGGCTGCTCACCTGACCCACCCATCCCCCCTTAGGATCTCAGCACCTGTCACTTGAATGTGGGTGAGCCTTATCCTTTCCTTCTTTAGGAGGTATGGATGGAAAGTCAAGTCTGTAAAGTTGGGGAGCCACTCACAAGTATGGGATTGGGACCCTGTTTGCAACTTCTTGTCTACCCTACCCCTCTCCCCCTGCAGACTCAGGGCAGAATTGGTACAAGCCACATATCAAAAGGCTGAGTCATGTTATGTCATATCTCACCATCGGTCCACTCCTGGACAACTTCTCAGCTCCTTTCGAGTGCTAACCCATTATGCATAGATGTCAAACTTGCAGGAAGACTCAGAAGGAAGAGGGAGCACTCCCCCCCCCCCCCCCCCCCCCCACCAAGCACACCCTGGCCAAAAGGAAAAGGTATCTATTCCAGTGGAAAGGCTAGAGCAAGCACCCCCTCCTGCAGGCTGCCTTCTGTTTCCTGACAAACAAATGTGGGCATACGCTGTGGTAGCTTCAGACAGGAAGTCCCAGGGATTGTACTGTCTTGATAGGGCTGAGTGATGCTTGCCTCAGGGAGCAGAGATCAGTCTAAGAGGGCTTCCTGGAGGAGAGCAATCTAGAGTCTGGAAGAGATAAAAGGAGGAGGGAGAGGTGAGGGCCTGGATGTCCGTACTGTGATGGAGCTGTGTGGTAGACAGTGCTTGCCTAGCACAGTCTTCAGTTCCATCCCCAGTACCAAGAGAGGGAAGAGACTCGAAAGAAGCCTCTGCAGTAGTAGTTGATGGAGAGAGGTCCTGGAATAGAGAAAAGGAATACTCTCTTCACTGGTAGGGGTCAGAGAAATTTTGGAGAGCTAGGTTTGGGAAAAGGTTGAATTTGGAGACCGTGGTCTCTGCAAAGATTCAGGAACCTGGGCTGAAAAGAAGAGCAAAGGACTCGGGTTCTGGGGAGAGGTGATTTTGATTACCTGGGTATGACCGCCGTGGAAGCCCCAGCCCTCTCCCCTTTCCTGTCCCCAGTTACTCTACCTCCTCCCTTCCCTTTCCTCAGAGCTCAACAAAGGGAGCTGATAACCACAGCTCCTGGGCTCTGCGAGGTGCCCAGGCCTGCCCCACCTCTGGGGCCAACCAGTGATGGAATAAGCGGGTGGGAGGGAGCAGTGGGAAAGAAGAAACCCGCAATCCAATTCCCTGCTCCATTTAGGCTCCACAATTAAAGGCAATTACACTGCAGTTCTCTAATCAAATGCTCCCGGCCAAGCTGCCAGCCGGGCAGCCATGTGTAGCTTCCCACAGCCGGAGGGAAAGTGGAACAAAGTCATGTGGCCTTTCGGTTCCCAAGGTGTAGGCGGCTGAGTGTGTGCAGGTGTGTCCATGTGCACACACCCCACGTCCATGCCCTCCACACTTAGGTCCAGAGGCAAAACTCACTGAGTAAGACAGTGGGCCAGAAAGCTTCTATAGTCACGTGCAGACAAGTTGGGCATACTGGCCCATAGAATCTGTCCTGCTGCTCCTGCTGGGAATTGTAGCTGTGTCCTGTGTTCATGATGTGGGTATCAGCCTGAGCTGCAAGGACGGGGCGAGGATCACGGCCATCTTTGCTGAGGAGGCAATAGGTGGGCATAGAGAAACAACTCAGAACTGGAGGGCAGGGGGTTGGGCTCTAATCCTCGGGTAAGATCTTCTTCTCCCTGAACCTAAGTGCGTGTGCTCCACAAAATGAGTGGAGTGAGCCAGACCCATCTCCAAAGGCCTTTACATAACACTGCACCATTCCTGTGATTGCTGAGCACTCCAGCTCCTGAAGCCCATTCCCCTGAGCCAAGACACAGAGGGAGAATGGAGCCAAGGGCGAGAATGTGCTACCTTGGAGGGGAGGGCTTGGACTGAACTGGAGGGCCCTCTCCCCGCCCGAGGCGGTACCCTTGCCACCTCAGGGAGTAAGGGCCTGTAGGGACTCCATAGTGGAGCCCCTCCTCACTCATCTTCTTGCCTAATGCCACCTTTGGCTTTGCCAGGCACCCAGACCCGCTTCAGCCAGGAACCAGCAGACCAGACTGTGGTGGCCGGACAGCGGGCCGTGCTCCCCTGTGTGCTCCTCAACTACTCTGGGATTGTTCAATGGACCAAGGATGGGCTGGCCCTGGGTATGGGCCAGGGCCTCAAAGGTGAGTGGGGGCTTGGAGGTGTGGCTCAGTGGTACACACACACACACACACACACACACACACACACACACACACACACACACACACACACACACACACACACACACACACACACACACACACACACACACACACACACACACACACACACACACACACACACACACACACACACACACAGCGTTGCCTAACCAGGCAGCGTCCAGATGGTCCCATTTTCATACCTAATCCACATTCCCAGGTTAGAGTCCTGGACTTGCCTGCCTTAATTCCTTAGCACACATACTCCCCAGTACTCCAGCCTCAGCTTTGCTCCTGAGCTCTGTCTCTCCCGCCCAGCAGCTCTGTACTTCCATATGACTGGATAGGCTCAAGAAAGGCTATAGGAACCTGGTTGATCAAGGGAAACAGACCTTTGCATAAGAGAACTGCAGACAGACAGGCAAACAGACAGAACCAGGTGCTGCAGGCAGATGGATCACTCAGGAAGCCCTGGGACAGCACAGCTCCCTGCAGGGGGGTGGGAACTCAGGCACTTGTCCCAGGATGCTTCAGGCTGGCTTCACGTGGGCTGACTCTGCTCTGCCCTGTTGCAGACTCTTCCCTCCTCCTGCACAGGCTATATCTGCTCTAAGGCTAGAAACGTATTATAACATCATCTTAAGCACTTGTTTATTCATTCAACAAGCATTTATTAAGCCTAGGTTGATGTAGCTGGTGTTGAAGAAGACATAGTGATTTTTCTGAACAAACAAAAAATTCCAGCCTCCTGTATTCCAAGGCAAGCAGAGAGACCTTGGAAGGACTGCCTAGCAGGGTGGGTGAGGAATCAGGACACCTAGTGTTCATCCTCCTTCTACCTTCTGCCCACCTGGTGATACGGGGAGAGTCAGTTCCTTCTTTGGGCCTTGGTTTGCTGATCCATCTAACAGGTGCAACATGCTGGGGCCTGCCCACCTTACCTGAGCCCCTGTGAGTTCTGCACTGAAGGGGAGTGTACGCTCTGTGAAAACACACACATGTTAGCTTGAAAGCACTGGGATAGTGTAGAACACAACAGGCTGTGTAGAGATTATTTGCTCTGGGGTCCACGTATTAAAGCTGGTAGGGGAAATCTGCATAGAATAATCTGTTGAAAGGGAAGAGATGGGTCTGGTGGATCTATTGATGATGGAGAGAGAAAGAAACTGGGAGAGAGGGAGATCAATAGATATGGAGTGAGAAGAATCGATAGCCTCTGGACAGAGGGAGATAATGGGGAACCGGAGGGAGGAGGGCAGAGAAGTGGGCGGTCCTGGGCGGAAGCCTGGAGAAGGACAAGAGAGGCCGAATTGAGAAGGCCAGAGGCCCACCCCCTCTGCCATCTGCTGTGGTTGTGAAGGGAACTCAGACTGGTCTAGGGGCTCCTTAAGGGAACCAGCAGACCCTTCTCATCTGCCTCCTGTGCTGAGTGGGGCCGAGGCCTTGGCCTCCCTTGATTTCCCCCTCTCCTTTGCCAGTCCCACAGAGACGCCCCAGTGAGCTCATGTCTGTGCTGAGCTGCCCTATATATTTCCCAGCGCCCACACGCTCTCCCTCTCTCCACCCCCCCTTCTCTCCACCCTGCTGGCTGCCTCCCCCCACCCCTTCCTTTGCTATCATTATGAGAGACATTTGTCTGCAAACAGCTTCAGAGATTTCATCTGCTCCTGCTTCTGCCTGGCCTGTCTGCCCCTCCCGCTTCAGTCTTGCAATGGAGGTGGAGTCTGAGTCTAGGTCCCCCTGGTCTCACCTGCTAATGATACCCAGGAGAGGGTAGGAGGGCAGGGGGAGGAGTACTGGCCTGTTGTGGATGTCAGGCCCTGGCACAGTGATGACCTGGGGTGAGGATGTGTCCTCTGGGGCAAAGTGGTCTCAGCTGTAAGATAAGACCCATGGTAAACCTCACCCTTTTCTGTCTCTGCAGCCTGGCCACGATACCGGGTCGTGGGCTCTGCAGATGCCGGGCAGTACAACCTGGAGATCACTGACGCGGAACTCTCTGATGATGCTTCCTACGAGTGCCAGGCCACAGAGGCTGCCCTGCGCTCCCGACGGGCCAAACTCACCGTGCTCAGTAATGACCAATGCCCTGCAGTGCTCCCAGGCCCTGTCTCTCCAGCTCTCCAACTCCCTCTCTAATTCCCTGGCTTGTTCCCTCTGTTCCTGAGCCCCCAAACAGCCTTGGCTCACACCCCTTCACCCCTTCCTCAGGCCCAGCCCTCCTGCCTGGTTGCGCCTCTCTCTCAGCACTCACCCCTCCTCCTCTCAGATTCAGGGGCCTCCTTAGGGAGCAGGGTAACAAGCTGGAAGGAATGGGCATGAGAGGACTGGGGCTGGGTCCTGCTGTGTCTGCTCCCAGCTATAGCTTGGGTCTCAGAAGCCATGCTCCCAGAAGCCCACAGGGGCACAGAGCAGATGTCCCTCTGTAGTAACCCCCAGGCTATCTGCATAATGAAGGGACTCTTCTGCACACTGAGGTGAAGCCAGCTCTGCCCTACCCCTCTCCTCTCTCTCCTCAGCCCTTGGTCTTTCTGTCTCTCCAGTTCTGTGGTTTCCAGGAGCCTTGGCCTCAGGTGTCCTGCTTGCTTGCCTCTCTCCTTCCCTCCTTCCCTCCCTCCCTCCTTTCCTCCCTCCCTCCCTCCCTCCCTTCCTTCTTCCTGCTTGCCTGTACTGGGGCTTGAACTCAGGGCTTGGGCACTCCCTCTTAGCTTTTTCCACTCAAGACTTACGCTCTACCACTTGAGCCACAGCTCCACTTCCAGATTTTGATGGTTGATTGGAGATCAGAGTTTCATGGACTTTCCTACCTGGGCTGCTTGGAACTACAATCCTCAGATCTTAGACTCCTTAATATTAGGATTACAGGCATGAGCCACCAGCCCCTGGCTTCAGTTGTTCTCTCTCTGGCTCCCTGCAAACCCATCTTCTCTTTTATCATCACTCTATTTCTATCTCTTTCCTGTCTTTATTTGACCTGTTCTGTTCTGCCTATTTGCCTTTTCTCTCACTTGACCCAAAGAATTGGGGAACAGGAGAGGAAGAGGGAAGATTCCTGAGCTTAGACTCTATATGCTTTGCTATTGCGGGGGGAAGTAGGAATGTGGTAAGTTGTGCAGCTGTAGCAGAAAGACTCCTTAGCTTCTGAGGGTCCAGAGGGCTGGGCTGTGGTTGTGCCTTGACCATTTGGGTAAGAGGTCACACCCCAGACACAGGTTTCCTCCCTGGTTATGGTAAAGTGACATAATGCTGCCAGCCTTTTCTTAGCAACGGCCACCTTGTGCTCATGCACAGTGAATTGCAAACTGTGAAGATCTGGGCAAATGTGAAGTGTCAGAATAAGTGTGAACGGGAGGGCCCAGCAGCTGGTGTCTCTGGATGTGAAGGTGCCAAGGGACTAAATGATTCAGGGATGGTGGGGGACTTTGCTTTTCTTCTCTGGGACTACAATGGGAAGGCTAGCCAGGAGCAGGACTGAGGTCAGAAAGCAAGAATTAAGAGACAGCACAGGATACCAGGAACTCCTCGTCGTCCCTTGCCCAGAGTGTGTGAGCCTCCCTGGTAGGCCAGCACTGTTTGAGAGCCATGAAACCTAGGAGAACTCCTCCCTTCTTTTTCTTCCTCGCTGCCTCTATTTTGGGTGCTATTTGTGTCCTGCAGAACTTCCACCTTCACAAAATGCCCTGAGTTTCTTCCTTTCTCTCTCTTACCTCAGTATACAGCAAAGAGGTGACTGTGGGGTGTGGGGTGAGGAGATGAAAAGCCTGCTCAATGCCAAGTGTGTCAGGAGTAAGGCCTCGTGGTCCATGGCCTGGAACAGTCAAAGAAGGCTTCTTGGAGGAGGAGACGCCAATGGGAACACTGGCTAGGGAAGTGCATTGTTAGAAAGTCTGAAGATGAATGAAGCAGAGCTCCGGGCATGGGGAAATGACTAGCTTGTGGGAAGCCATTGTCAGTGTTGGGAGGGGGCCTTCCTGCTCCGTCTTGATGATGTGAATTGAGTGGAGCAGGAGAGACCCCAGAGCTGAAAGGAAGCCAGGGATGCTTAGTTCAGCTGCCCCTCTTCCCTTGTCTCTTTGCCCTATTTTTTTTCTTGGGCACTCACATACCCCTGCCTCCTCCACCCAAGTCACCTAAATACTACCTGAATAAGAAGGTAATAAGAAGGCATGATGTAGCTGGGCACCAGTGGCTCATGCCTGTAATCCTAACTACTCAGGAGCCTGAGATCTGAAGATCAGCCCAGGCAGGCAAATCCATGAGACTCTTATCTCCAATAAACCACTCAGAAAACTGGAAGTGGCACTGTGGCTCAAGTGGTAGAGTGTTAGCCTTGAGCTGAAGAGCTGAGGGACAGCACTCACATCCAGAGTTCAAGCCCCATGACCGACCAAAAAAAAGGAAGGCCTGATATTCCTGCACCCCTCCTGCCTACTGCCTGCCCTCAGCCTTGGCCCACAACAGTCTGGGGCCCAGATAACCAGGTAGGGCAGAAATGAGCAGTGGATCCTGGGATCTATCTCTCTGCCCAGGCCAATCTCATGAACTTCCCTCCATCCTCACAAGTCTTCCTGGCTCCATGTCTCAGGCCAGCCTTCTTCACAGAGTGGCCTCTTTCATTTTGCTCCGTGTGACTGGCTTTGAGAGGAGGCTTCTGCCACCTGCAGACCCAGCTGTAGACATAATATAGATCTGTAGACTTATGGCTCATTATTCACAGAAGTAAACTGGAGGGCAGCAGAAATGAGTGTGGCTTTGAAGTCAGGAGGACATGGTCTTCCTCATCCCACCCCTTTGCCACTTAACATACTCATTGTTGGGCATGTGGGCAGATACATCCCAGAGCCTTGGTTCCTTGTCTATGAGTTAGTGATATTCCCATGAAAGGATTAGTAAATGTACTTTGTGGTCAGGATGAAATGCAATCACATTCCCAAGGCATTTTAGCTGACCGAGGTAAACCTTCATGGGAATGGTAAGGATGATTGACTATCTCTGGATAGCTCACAGTTGGCTTCACCTCCTGCTTTTATCTCCACAATAACAGCCTTGGGGATTAAGTGTCAATGTAACTTTTGCCTTTTTTTTTTTTTATCAAAACCGAGCCCACAGACATATAGGCATATTGATATACAGATTTAAGTCACCAATCATAAATATTTGTTCATAAACACATAGACTCACACTCTCTAACTGTGGCTGAACTGACATTTCTACCCCCTTTCTTCCCTTTGGTCATATATGGAGGGCAGTGATAGGCTCGTGGAGCGTGGGCAGAGAGTTTGGAAAATTCTAAAGAACCTTATACTCAGCCTGGCACTGGTGGCTCATGCCTGTAATCCTAGCTGTTCAGGAGCCTGATATCCAAGGATTGCAGTTCAAAGCCAGTGCAGGCAGGAAACTCTGTGAGACTCTTATCTCCAAGTAACCACCGGAATTCCAGAAGTGGAGCTGTGGCTCAAAGTGATAGAGAGCAAAAGAGCTCAGGGACAGTGCCCAGGCCCTGAGTTCAAGCCCCATGACTGACCAAAACAAAACAATACTTATGCTGCAGGTGGCAGCAAGGGATGACTTTAGAGGGGCCCAGGCAGGTCAGGAGACCCTGAGTGTCCCCTCCTTCCCTATTTGTCTGCTTCTCACATTGCCTTCCACCTCCATCCTCATACCTGGCCCCTTCTGGCATTGGAACCAGATACACCAGGGAGTAAGGAGGAGGAGCAGGGGATTCAGAGGGTAATTACCCAGGCAGGAGCTAGAGCCACTGCTGGTTTTCTTCAGGGAGAAAAGCTAACAGATTTTACACTTCACAAGTGCCCGGCATGGTACAATCTATATCCAGTACTTCACTGACCTTCACAAGGGCCCAGGGAACAGGCATTGTTAAATCTCTGGTGAAGAAACAGAGACTCCGTATAGGGACTCACTGCACATCACACAACAGGTAAATAAAGTTGTGTTTGAAACCAGGGCAGCTGATTCCAAATTCCATTCTTTCCCCACCAATACCAGTCAGTGTCCTTGAGCTGGATAGCCGAGGACAGTTGTAGGCAGCTTCTTTCTACTGGAGACCCTGGGATAGAAATTTCTCTTCACTCCTCCAACTCTAGGATAGGCCTATACCATCCCCGCCTCCAAGGTCCTCCCAGTGTCTGTCTATCTGTGTCTCTGGAAATCTCCCTCCAAGTCTTTCTCATCTTTATCAAGATATTTTTATTGTTGGTGTTTTAATTTTTGCTTTTTGCTTGGTCATGGGGCTTGAACTCTGGGCCTGCACGTTGTCCCTGAGCTCTTCATCTCAAGGCAAGTGCTGTATCACTTGAGCACCACTTCTGGTTTTCTGGTGGTTAATTGGAGATAAGTCTCACAGACTTTACTGCCTGGGTTGGCTTTGAACCACAATCCTCAGATCTCAGCCTCTTTAGTAGCTCTTTAGTGGCTCTTTAGAAGAGCCACTGGCTCTTTTTTTTAAACTGGCTAATTTTTTTTTGGTCATGGGGCCTGAACTCTGGGCCTATGCACTGTCCCTCAGCTCTTCAGCTCAAGGCTAGTACTCTACCACTTAAGCCACAGTGCCACTTCCAGCTTTTTCTGTTTACGTGGTGCTAAGAAATTGAACCCAGAGCCTCATGCATGCGAGGCAAGCACTCTACCACTGAGCCACCTTCCTAGCCCTCTTCTTGGTTTTATCCCATCAATTAGTTGCTCATAAATTGACTCAGGAAGTCCTGCTCTCCACCAAGCTCTGGCTAGACTCTGTGGTTCTAAGAATAGCCCCTGCCCTCAGGAAACTTAGACTTGGGTTCACCTGTGTGAGTGCTGCAGAAAGAGATCCAGAATTTGTTAGCTTGAGACATTTGATTAGTTCAATTCCTTAAGCATTTAGCAAGGGCCTACTTTAGCCACCTATTAGGCACTGGAGACTACATACAAATGTTAATTTGAGAACACCTGGCCTGCTTTTCCAAGGAGTTTCAGTTGGTTGGGTTGGAGGTAAATACAGTTGGTGCTACACGCTCTGGATAACTGGTGAGGGATGCGCATGGCCGGCCTTGTGCATCACCTGGGCTGTGAACCAGGATGGTAACAGTACAAAAGCCATCGGTGAGACAGAAACATGCCACAAAGTGAGATGATGAGAAACGACAGGGCTTGGCCTGAGGACCTCAGAACAGAACGCCAGTGTGCTTACAATGAATGTCCCGAGCAGTTGTAGCCATTAAAGGTGTTTGATCTGGAGAATGGCATAGTTTTAACTGTGTCATGGAGAAAACCCGAGGAGGGTGTGTGTGATGGATAGAGCTGGTGACGTGGGAGTGCCCATCTGGCTGGTGTAGGGCAGCGCAAATAGGATGGGGTGGATGTAAGAAGCCCTGTGGGGGTAGACATTCTTCCCCAGGATGACTCAGACCTTGAGGTAGCCCAATACTTTCCTGAGCGTGAGGCAGTCCCTTCTGTACGTACAGGCACATGTCTTTAAGCAGTGGTAGCGGGTGAAGAACCACACTTGGATAGAGGCTAGGAAGAGATTCACAGGGGCTGGAAAAGTTTCTGGTCTGAGGTCCTTGGGTGAAGCCACTGTGGAAGCAATAGCTGTAGTGATTGTAGGTAGAGAGAGAAGGGCAGATGGAAGGAGGCCTTCCCAGCAAGGTGTTTGCCATACCTGGGGCTGACTTTGCCCTCCTTCCCTCCACAGTCCCCCCAGAGGACACCAGGATCGATGGAGGGCCTGTGATTCTGCTGCAGGCAGGCACGCCCCATAACCTCACATGCCGCGCCTTCAACGCCAAGCCCGCCGCCACCATCATCTGGTTCCGGGATGGGACCCAGCAGGAAGGGGCTGTGGCCAGCACGGTGAGACCCCGCCTGCTCCTCTGGCTCATCTTAAGTCCAGCACCGGGTCACCTTTTCCTTTCCCACAGGGGTCTGATCACAGACTCCAGGGGCCCAGGTGCGAGGAAGGCCCTTCAGAGGTAATCTGGTCCAACTCCTGATTTGACAGTTGGGAACACTGAGGCCTAGAAGTAGGTTTCTAACTCTACTGTACCCTTCAGTAGTGGAACTGAAACAAAACAAAAAAGCTATACAATCTAGGCTCAGGTGACTCAGGCCTGTAATCCTAGCCACTCAGGAGGTTGAGTTCTGAGGATAACAGTTTGAAGCCAGCCTGGGTAGGAAAGGCCACAAGACTCTAGAAGTGGAGACAGCTAGAAGTGGAGATGTGGCTCAAGTGGTAGAGGGGAGGAAAAAGCCAGTCTTGAGAGGAAAAAAGTACGGATCACACCCAGGCCTGGAGTTCAATCCCCAGTACCAACAGAAAAAAGGAAAGGAAAAGAAAGGGGAACAGGGAAAAGAGAGGAAGGAAGGAAAGGGAGGGAGGGAAGAAAGAAACTGGCTACATGAATTAAAATATTTTAGTGGTCAAACAAGTGGATTTGCTAATGTCATACTAAGACTGGTGACACTTTCACTGCTGTCTCCCCAAAGTCGGGCATGGCCGTCTAACTGTAGGACCATACTTTGGTTCATGCTTTCTCTTAGGCTATTTGCCATGTGGGAAATGGCTTGAAGATTCCTATGATGGCTTTTGGGAATCTCAGCCTAAGGGTCACTGGGCCTCTCTGAATTCTTGAGACTATCTTCATCCTTATCCTGGAAGAGTCTGTGGTCTAGCTGGAGAGAGTCTAGAGACACTCGTGATTGCTGTGAGCAGGGCTGGGTGAGCTTGGAGGTCAGAGGGGCAGTCTGTCTGTAAGGGACTAAAAGAGCACCCTGAAGGCTGGGCTGTCCCAAGGAGGCTTCCTAGAATGGGAGGACTTGTGAACTCTGAGAATTCCCGGAATGAAGCTCCATCCCATCCCTTGGGGGAAAACTGCTGAACACAAAAGAGTGTAGCCAGAAGATTCCATTAATAATAATAAATTAGTATGATACATCTGGTGTAGTAAGTTCATCACTTTAATGCAAGCAGTTAAAAAGGAAGAAAACTAGAGGTGAGGAAAAGAATATATGGAGACTTGTATTTTCTGTTCTGTTTTTCTGCAGACTTAAAACTGCTTAAAAAACCAACTCTAAGCCTGGCACTTCTGGCTCAACATCTGTAAAACTAGCTTCTTGAGGAGAGATCTGAGGATCACGATTTGAAGCCAGCCAGGAAGGAAAAGTCCGTGAGACTCTTAATCTCCAATTAGCCACAAAATGCCAGAAGTAGAGCTTGTGGTTCAAGTTGTAGAATGCTAGACTTGAACAAAAGAGCTTGGGGACAGTTTAGGCCCCAGTACTGGCGCGCATGGGCGCGCGCGCGTGCACACACACACACACACACACACACACACACACACACACGCACACACACACACACAAATAACTGAAAGCCCACTTTATTTTTGTGCCAGACCTAGGGCTTGAACTCAGGGCCTGGGCAGTCTCTGAGCTTCTTTGGCTCAAGACTAGTGCTCTACCACTTGAGCTATAGCTCCACTTCCAGCTTATTTGTTCTCTTAATTGAAGATAAGAGTCTCATGGACTTTCCTGCTCAGGTTTAGCTTTGAACTGCCATCCTCAGACCTCAGTTTCCTGAGTAGCTAGGATTACAGGTGTGAGCCACCAGTGCCCCAGCTCTAAAGTCTACTTTAAAGGAAACGTGGAGAGGAAATTGAGAGAAGAGATTTTTTTAGTTGGACCACATCATTTCTGTCTTTGTCCTACTCTAGGAGTTGCTAAAGGATGGAAAGAGGGAGACTACGGTTAGCCAGCTGCTCATTAACCCCACGGACCTGGACATTGGACGCGTCTTCACGTGCCGCAGCATGAATGAGGCCATCCCCAGCGGCAAGGAGACATCTATAGAGCTGGATGTACATCGTGAGTGGGGCCGTGGGAGGGGACAATCTTGGCTGGTGGCGGTGGTGAGGGGAAGATGAGATATGGGCAGCTTTTGAGAAGCATAGAATGAGTGTGGCTCTCTTCATGCCTGTCTGTCCTGGTTTGGACCGTGAGTACTGAGGGTAGTTGAAGTACTGGATATGGAGAAAGGAAGTCTTCCTCCATTTCTAAACCAGTGTGTGACTTGGGAGGATGGTTAATCCTTCTGGGTCTCCATTTTGAATTATGATTAGTTGCAGAAAGTAAGATGTGGGCCTTCACGATTCTTTATCTACAATTCCAAACTGAAGTGGTTAGGTGAGCACCTGAGCCCAGGCACTTTGTAGATTTATTTAACCTGACATTCACACATTTCACTGTAGCTGTGTTCATGTAGTCACTGTGTAGTGTTGCCCAGAGGCTGCTGGGGGTCTCCTACAGTAGAGAGGCTGTGGAAAATGTAGAAATGTATAGTCCTTAAAGGTTTCACAAGGGATTGTAGACCTATACCTGCTTCTTGAGATTGTCAGTGTTAAATCTAGTGTGGATGGTGCATGCTTACCTGATAAATGCTCAGTCAATATCCTCTGCCCAGGGAACCATGAGAGGCTGTAGGCAGAGGGGGTGGTAGGCAGCAATTTGGGGGATGCTCCAGCCCGTGGTTTTCAGTGAACCAAATGAGTCCACACTGACGCCTAGTGGCCACAGTTGTTACTACAGCCCTTGAATAATTTGTTCCTTGGTGATTGGTCAGCTGGGGATTGCTTATTTATTAGACACTGTATACTGTAAACCTGGATCCCTATAGTGGAGAAGTCTGAGTGTACGTGCTAGGTGAGGAAAAGAAAACTTTAGGAACAGAAAAGATCCTGACTTCCTGTCCCTTCACTTGGCAGACCCTCCTACAGTGACCCTGTCCATCGAGCCCCAGACGGTGCAGGAGGGAGAGCGCGTAGTCTTCACATGCCAGGCCACGGCCAATCCTGAGATCCTAGGCTACAGGTGAAAGGGTTGGGGGGGGAGCTTACTCTGGGAGTGCTGCTGGAGAGTCCCTGAGTCCTGAGGGGCAGAGAGGGTACAGGAGCAATCAGCGTCCCTGGGCACAGTGGAGAGGGTCCTGAGTTCTGATCCCATCTTTGTGTTTCTTCCAACACGCCATCCCCCCAGGTGGGCCAAAGGGGGTTTCCTGATAGAAGATGCCCATGAGAGCCGCTATGAGACAAATGTGGATTATTCCTTCTTCACGGAGCCTGTGTCTTGTGAGGTCCACAACAAAGTGGGGAGCACCAACGTCAGCACTTTAGTAAATGTCCACTGTGAGTAGCTGGAGGGGCAGGGACAGGAGACAGAACGGGGCCTTTGAAGACCTCAGGTGGAAGGTTAGGGGAAAAGCACCATGCAGCCGATAGAGCTGGGGCAGGGGGCACGGTAACTATGAGGGGCAGCAGGGCAGAAAGGAAGAGAGAGTCATTAGAGTTGGCTCGCTAGGACCTTGAGACCCTGATAAGTTACTTCTGTCTCCTTCAGTTGCCCCCCGGATTGTAGTTGATCCCAAGCCCACAACCACAGACATTGGCTCTGATGTGACCCTCACCTGTGTCTGGGTTGGAAATCCCCCCCTCACCCTCACGTGGACCAAGAAGGATTCAAACATGGTAAGCCTCTCCCTGCCTGTCCTGGGTGCTGGGAAGAAGGGCTCTGGCTATGGGTGGGGGTGGCAGTATTATTTTCCACCTTGAATCTGGGCTATTTCTAAGGTCTTGGGATTTAGAGAAGAACATTATATGGGATCAGTCTCAACCTCTTCACCAGCCTTTGCAAGGTGGGGTAGGAGATTGGAAAAGGGTCCAAAGAGATGCTGCTACAGTGGCCAGAGATCTGGTAAAGCAATGTTGAACAGGAAGTTAAGGAAGCTACCGAGGAGAGATGGTTGGATCCCACAGCTCTAGAGATGCACATTAGACAGTAGGAGCCAAAATTGTAGGGAAAGGAATTTCTAAACAAAACGTCTGGCCTGCTTTGGCAATAAAAACACTAGAACAGATCATCGGAAGGAACTGTATCCTCTTTTATTTGTGTGTATATGGGCTGCTGGTATTGAGACTTGAACTCAGGGCTTGGGTGCTGTCTCTTAGTTTCTTTTGCTCAAGGCTAGCAACCCTATTTCCAGCTTATTGGTGATTAATTGGAGATAAGGTTCTCAAAGACTTTCCTGCCTTGAAAGGCTTCAAAACGGCAATTCTCAGATCTCAGCCTCCTGAGTAACTAGGATTCTAAATGGGAGAAACAGGCTTCTGGCTAGGAACTCTACCCTCTTAAAATTACTGTAGCCATTGCCTGCCCTCTCTCACGCCCCCCCTCCTCCGTCCCTGCCCACCCTTGTAAAGTTGGTACCTTCAAATGCCTGGCTACCTAAAGACAGGGATGGATGAATCATCCGGACTCGGGAACCTGCTTTCTTTCCTCTGGCAATTCACTTGTGGCCCTTCCTGCTTTCTTTCCCATGCCTCCAATGCGGGGCCCTCATGGACCTAGGGGCCCAGGCCTCCTGGCTCCCCACCCGAGGCTGCTCTCTCTGCCCAGGTCCTGAGTAACAGCAACCAGCTACTACTGAAGTCGGTGACCCAAGCAGATGCGGGCACCTATACCTGCCGGGCCATTGTGCCTCGGATTGGAGTGGCTGAGCGGGAGGTGCCGCTTTATGTGAACGGTGAGTGGCCTGAGTGATGGAGGCCCTGCTGGACAAGGGCTGCAGCTCCTGACTGGCCTGCCTGTGTCTCCTCGTTTTGTAGGGCCTCCCATTATCTCCAGCGAGGCAGTGCAGTACGCCGTCAGGGGCGACGGTGGCAAGGTGGAATGCTTCATCGGGAGCACACCACCCCCAGACCGCATTGTGAGTATGGGGATGAGTCTCAGAACAGCCATGCGGGCCCCCCTCCCCTTGTCCAGCCTCCTCAGCTCATGCCATTTCCCCATCCCTTTTCTGGTAGTCTCATCTTGTGCCTTGTCTGTGCCAATCACACCTCATCCTTTATTTGTGTGACCCTGAGAAATTAGTGCCTTGTTGTGTGTGTGTGCACAAGCACATGCACATGCACGTGTGCACCAGTACTAAGACTTGAACTCAGGGCCTAGGTGCTATCCCTCAGCTTTTTTTCCATTCCAGACTTGCACTGTCCTACTTGAGCCACAGCCACCTTTTAGCTTTTTGGTGGTTAATTGGAGATAAGAATCTCAGGGATGGGATGGGCTGGGAAGGTGGCTCAGTGGTAGAGCGCTTGCCTTGCATGCATGAGGCTCTGGGTTCGATTCTCCCAGCACCACATAAGCAAAAAGAAAAAACGCCGGAAGTGGCGCTATGGCTCAAGTGGTAGAGCGCTAGCCTTGAGCTGAAGAGCTGAGGGACAGCGCCCAGGCCCAGAGTTCAGGCACCAGGACCGGATCCCCCCCAAAATAAAAAGAATCTCAGGGATTTTCCTGACTGGGTTGGCTTCAAATCACAATCCTTAGATCTCAGCCTCCTGAGTAGCAAGGTACAGGCATGAGCCATGGGTGGCCTGCATCTCGGTTTCCTCATCTGTAAAATCAGAGGTCATAACCCCTACCTGTAGGATTTCCTTGAGGAGTCACGGTAGCTCTCCTCTCGCCTTCCTGGCAGAGGTGCTTGCCCAGCCTTTTCTTTCCTCCCTCCTCCCCTCCCTCTGCCCCTGCCTCCCTCTCCATCAATTCTTCCCCTCCCTGTTCCACTTTTCTCTCTTCTCCTGCCTTTTTCCCCACTAGCCCTTCTCCACACACCCATCCCCGCCCCATCTCCTCTCCCCCATGCTATGAGCCATTAATTCCTTCCGTGACCATTAACCGTCAAACCCCTCATCACATTTAATGACCATTTGGCTAACTCCAGGGCTGCCCAGGGACGTTTCATTACCACGGCTGCCCAGGCAGCAGGCGGCCGGGTTCCCGGGGGGCTTCCCCTACAGAGCTGAGAGAATTGATCTCTGGCAAGGAGCCAATGCTGGGCTGATACCCCTCCTTAGCCTGTGTTCTGGGTGAAGGCACGCAGGGGGATGTGTTGGCATGGAGGGCAGGGATGGGGTCCTGCAGGATGCTCCTCTCTGGTTCCTGGATGGGCCTCCAGAGCCAGCCAGGCAGACTTGTGTGGGTTTGGTTAAAGGTAGGATTGAAGGTGGAATTATGCATGGTTAGAATTGCAGCTCTAGCTGGAGGAAACCTTGACCACTGTCGTGTGCCACCCTGGTTCTCTCATTTTACCCAAGGAAAAACTGGGATTCAGAGATGGAAAGAGAGGGGTAGAAGAGCCAGGACTGGAGCGTGGGGGGGGGGGGGGGGGGAGGAGAGGGGGGACGGGGACACTGGAACTCTGGGCACTGTCCCTGAGCTCTTTTGTTCAAGACTAGTGCTCTACCTCTTTGAGCCACAGCATCAATTTCCAGTTTTCTAGTGGTTAATTGGAGTTAAGAGCCTCACAGACTTTCCTGCCCAGTCCGGTTTTGATAGATGATCCTCAGATCTCAGCCTCCTGAGTAATTAAGAATACAGGCAGGCATGAGCCACCAGCTCCTGGCTGGTGTCTTAATCCAGAACATTCTTTGCAATGTATGGGGTTCCCAAATGTCAGCTGCATCCATCATGGAATCATTATAAAGACAGAATCCTGGAACTCGTCTCTGGACATTTCTATTTAGGACATAAGTCCCAAGAATCTACCTTTGTAGAATATCTCTTTGAGAGCCACAGCTTGTCCTAGACCAGAGGTCCAGTGCCAAGGGTTTGAGGTGGTGGCTGCAAACAGATGGTTACAGGGTGAACAGGGTGAGTGCAGGACTGGGCGTAGGGGGCATATCAGAGGTGTCTTAAGGGTTAAGGTGACAGACACCTGGGAACTTCTGCCACCTGCCCCTTCCTTATCTGCTTCCTGTCCTCCTCACCCTAGGCCTGGGCATGGAAGGAGAACTTCCTGGAGGTGGGGACCTTGGAACGCTATACGGTGGAAAGGACCAACTCTGGCAGCGGGGTGCTGTCCACGCTTACCATCAACAATGTCATGGAGGCTGACTTCCAGACCCACTACAACTGCACTGCCTGGAACAGCTTTGGACCCGGCACAGCCATCATCCAACTGGAGGAGCGAGGTGACTGGTTTTGCTGGTGCCCAGCTGGGGCTCAGGGCAGGCTGAGATACACACTGAGATTCAGAGATGAGCCAGGACTGGAATGCAAGATTCTGGAGTCTCACAGACTTTCCTGCCTGGGCTAGCTTTGAACCGTGATCCTCATATCTCAGCCTCCTGAGTAGCTGGGAATTCAGGCATGAGTCACCAGGACAGAGTATGGAGGGAGAGACTCCTCTGGGGCCTCCCATCCAGAACCTGCCTTCATGTTCAGCTAGGGAAATTCACTCACATTGATTGATCATCTTTATGTGCCAGGCTCTGTAGTAGGAGCTACAGGGACATCCAAGAATACGATATAGTTTCTGTTCACAAGAAACTCAGCTTAGTATAGGAACTTTTAGCATTGAAGCAAATGAACTCAGTTGGAGAAAAATCTCACAATCAGGATAAAGAATTAATACTTGTTGAGTTGTAAGGATTAAATGAAAGAATATGTATAAATACTGGGCACATAATAGGTGTTCAGTAAGTTCAAGTTCCCCCTCACTTCTTCAAGAACCAGTAATCTGAGAGACAATTTCCTCCTTTTAGCACCTCTGGCAGAATGAAGTCCTAAGTCTGATAAGGGAAAGACAACATTTGTTTGTTGCTGATATTTTCCTTTTTTTTTTTTTTTGCTTTTTGAGAACCATTCAGTCAGGGGGGATTTGGGGAAGCCATCTGGTCAAGTTTAGCTGAAGATGCCTGCGGGGTGAGGTATGACAGGTGGAGAGTACTTAGGGGCTCTGTGGGGAAGGTTGTCAGAGGGAAAAAGTCATTTAGTGGATCTGGAGGCAACTGGGACTGCCTGGTAGAGAAGGCCAGGAGTGGGATTCCTGTGCCCCTCAGTTCTAGAAGCAGGAGGGGAAGTGGAGCTGGGGCTCAAGTGGTAGCATGCTAGCCTTTAGCAAAAAAGCTCAGGGATAATGACGAGGCCCTGGGTTCAAGCTCCAGGACTAGCAGAAGAGGAAGAAAAGAAAAAAGGGGAGACTTGGGAGGAACGTTGGAGTCTCAGGAGCAGACACAACAGGAAGCTGGAGAATTTGGAGGCAGCAGACTTTAAACAAGTGCTCAGCCCAAGAAGGAAGGGGCCAAACCTTACAGCAGGTGGGACAAGAGACCTGACAGACAACAAGCCAGGGTCAAGCCAGGGCCCTGCTACAGTAAGGATAGGGCCTAATCATGACCTCAGCTTTGGTCAGGCTGGAACACAGACCCAATCCAACCACACTCCAACCTAGACTTACACATCATAAGGTCCACAAGCCATGCCAGAACTGAGCCTTGTGCGCAGCCCAGGGCTGCCATTGTAGCTTGTGGGGAACCATCAGGCAATGCTAAGCTCAGATCCCATTGTGGCTTCCTCCTCACCCCTCCTCCTTTTCCTTTCCCCATCCAAAGAGGTGTTACCCGTGGGCATCATCGCTGGGGCCACCATCGGCGCAGGTATCCTGCTCATCTTCTTCTTCATCGCCTTGGTGTTCTTCCTCTACCGGCGCCGAAAAGGCAGTAAGTCTGGGACCTGTATAAGCACCATTTCTGTCTGCCTCCCCCCTACCCTAATCCCCAGCCCAGAAGGGGCTGGAAGCAACCACTGCAGAGGCCATCAGCAAAAACATCTGGCCCAGCTGCGTCTGTGTCCCCATCCCAGGTCGCAAGGATGTCACCTTGAGGAAGCTGGACATCAAGGTGGAGACCGTGAACCGAGAGCCACTGACCATGCACTCCGACCGTGAGGACGACACTGCCAGCGTCTCCACGGCAACCCGGGTCATGAAGGCCATCTACTCAGTGAGGGTCCTGCTCTCCCCAGCCTAATGCGTTCTCCACACTTCTAGAACCGGCCCCATCTGCTCTCATATCATAGCTACAGCCCAAGCTCCTCCCTCAGTGAGCCCACCCCCGTCCTCTTACACACACACACACACACACTCGTGCCAAGCTCATTTCCCTCCAGCAGAGTACAGGTAGGGGAAAATTCTCCTTAGGCTTCCTCTGCCCTGTCCTTCCCCACAAGGCAACATTGGAAGCCCTTAGATCGTCTCTGGCCTAACCCCCCACCCCCCACCCCCCTTAGGCTAGGATGAGGAAATCATCCCCAGAGAGCAGCAGTCATACAGTCACGGTCACATTCATGTTAGCAACAAAATGAGTGCCAGAACCCAGGCCCCTGGCTTCCTCCCAGCACACCCTAGAGCCTGGGCAGGAAAACAGTATAGACGCAAGTCTGCCCCTGACCCAGACCCTTCCCTTAGCTGTGGCCTTGGGGCATGGGGTTGGGGAAGGAAGACAGAAGCAAAGTCCTCATCTCATGCCTCTTCCTGCTCTGCAGCCCTTTAAGGATGACGTGGACCTGAAACAGGACCTGCGCTGTGACACCATCGACACCCGGGAAGAGTATGAGATGAAGGTAGGGAAAGCAGGGACTGGCTGGGAAATGGAGCCCAGGCCCTGCCGTGGGGAGGCGGGAGGCTGGGAGAGGGCTCAGGCTGAAGAAACAGGAGGTGGAATGGCACAGGGTGCTGTCGAGGGAGGGCCCAGAAAGTTGTGATGAGATCCCCATCCTCTTCAAGAGGAAACTTAACGGTCTCCATCCTCTTCCGCTGTTCCCCAGGACCCCACCAACGGTTACTACAATGTGCGAGCCCACGAAGACCGCCCGGCCTCTAGGGCAGTGCTGTATGCTGACTACCGAGCCCCTGGCCCCACACGCTTCGATGGTCGCCCCTCATCCCGCCTCTCTCACTCCAGTGGCTACGCCCAGCTCAATACTTACAGCCGGGCACCTGCCTCTGACTATGTCCCTGAGCCTACACCCTCCGGCCCTGCTGCCCCAGCCGGCACCGACACCACCAGCCAGCTGTCCTATGAAAACTATGAAAAGTTCAACTCCCACCCCTTCCCCGGGCCAACTGGGTACCCCACCTACCGACTGGGCTATCCCCAGGCCCCACCCTCTGGCCTAGAGCGGACCCCATACGAGGCATATGACCCCATTGGCAAGTACGCCACAGCCACTCGATTCTCCTACACTTCCCAGCACTCGGACTACGGCCAGCGGTTCCAGCAGCGCATGCAGACTCACGTGTAGGGGCCAGCACCCCGCTTGGGCATCTCTGCGGGGCAGAGGAGAAGGCTTTCACAGCTGTTCCCTGATATTCAGGGGCGTTGCTCCTTGCTCCCTTCTCAGACCAGCCTTCCTCCTCCCGCTATGGCAGGTGGGGAGCAGGTCTCCCAGAAACACACCCCCCTCCCCAATCCCGAGGATGGTGCTCTGCGCATGCCCCAGCGTCTTGGGCCTGCCCTTCCCTCTTCTTCGGGAGGAGGTGTCTCTTCTGACCTGCGTGCTTGCTTGAGACCCCAGCGTGGGGACCGGGAAAGTGAAGGTGGGGAGAGCAGAGTGGGCACTTTTTAGCATTCCCTTTCGATCCCACCCCTCTGTTTTCCCATGAGTAGACGGAGCAGTGGAGTAAAATGGACTGGGCAGGCTTTGGCCTGGGGACCATGGCGTATGGGAGTCAGTGGCTCTGGCACAGTCTCTGTGGTCTGTTTTTACATCCTGGGTACATTGCTTTCCTCTTCGGAGGCCTGCAGATGGGACCTTGGATTTATTTTAGTTGTTGTCTTCAGAACAGCTCTGACAGTTGAGTTCACATCCAAGCCCCTATTCTGCTGAAATCAAAATGCCAGTCATCCTGGCTGCTACTGTGGGCATTGGTCTGTCAGCTGCAGAGGGATCCAGAGATTACCCGTAGCACCGCTCCCTTCCCTTCTCTGCTGAGTGGGCCAGATAAGTTCAGATTGTGGTAGAGAAAGGATGGTCAGGACCTTAACCTTAATTGACCAGAGACCACTGTACCCTATGTTGCACTTCCCAGACCTAACACTAGAGATAGCCATTAAGCCCTCTTTCCCCTTACCTACCCCACTTCTTGGCTTTGGCAAGTGGTATAGTGGGGTCAGAGTGCTACAGACTCTTTTTCAAAGGCAAGAGCAACAAAAACAGTGATAGGCTTATTTGGAAAGGAAGCTTGCAGGAGTTCCCACACACAAATACAAATGTCAGTAGAAAGGAAGGGGGCGCCTGTTCTCCATCAGATTCCTAACCCAGCATTACTTGTCAGATTCCAAGCACTTTGAGTCCATATTTATACATCCAGGTGGTGAGACCTGTCACACAAGCAGGTGGGCTTTGATGCCTCCCAGACTGCTGTCCTACCCGAAGCCCTACCGGCTGGTCAGAGATTGCCATCCAGGAGGCCTGGATGATGTTCTCTCCAAGTTTTAGTTTTGTTTCTTTTCCTTGGACCAATCAGATTCCTTCCACTTTTAGTGCCTTGAGTATTGAGCTTTGGGTGACTGCCCTAGTGTGTGTGGTTGCATACAGAGCAGGTACTCATGAGTCTCAGGCAGGCTGTCCAGTGATAGCATCAGGAGAGATAGGTGAGGGGCGGAGGGCCTGGAAATAGCCCTGAAGGAGAGCTCATGCTGATCCAAAGGAGACAGTAGCATGGAAGGGCACTGTAGGCATTCCATGGCACATGCTTTCCCATCCTCTACTTAGTACATACCCCCCTCCATATTCCACGCCACTGCTTCTCAACCGCCACCTTCTGACCAAAGAGAATAGGCATTCCAAAGAATCTGTACCTCTGCCTCGGCCTCCCCAAGAAGTCGCATCTGGAGTTGGCTGTTCTCCACCTGCCCATCGCAGCCAGCCTGGTGGGCGCACACCCTCCCCCTGCACCCTTCTCCCCGCCCTGTACAATTCCCAGAATGCTCCTTGCCCTTTCTCGGTGGTCACCATCCATTAGTCATGTTCACTTTAATGAGTTACATGCTCATCAGCCACGGGCCATCACCACCCTTACAGATGGGCCTGTGGGGTGACATTCCCAGCCATCCCCTTGCTGATAAAGACCAGATAATATCCAGGAAAATGAGTAGCTTCAGTTCAGACTTCAGTTTCTGAGATCTCTTGCACTTGAGACTTGGGGCAGTTTCTGCAGAGTGGTCCCTACCTAGGGCATTACGAGTGTCCAGCTGTATTCCATCCCTAAAGACTCCCACCTCCCCCAGAGGCCTTCTGATAGTGGTGAGATCTGTTAAGAATGTAGGTTCCAGTGCAGATAAATTCATACAAATTTGTATTTTCATAGATACCAGAAACCATGGGTAATCCAAACACTTTCAATAGTGGCTTTTTAGCAACTTTAAAAAAAAATAGTCATTTTTTGTTTTGAGTTTGGCCAAGTTTTCATTTCCCCATTTTGTTTCAGTAGTAGGTCCTCTTGTGTTGAAATGGTAGGCACATAGATCATGAGGTACTTCAGCACTACTGGGAAATGGTTGAGAAAGGACGCCTGGTCCAGACAGCTGTGCCACTGTTCCCCACTTCCCATCGCCAGGGCCCCTTCCCATTCCCCAATGCCAGTGCCCCATGGCATCGTGCACTGTGCAAAGTGCCGACGACCAAAGCAGTCTGTGTCCTCTGTAACTTAGACTCTGCATGATCAGAATCAAAGTTGGGGACCCATCTGTTAGGGCCTCTGGAGAGTTGAAGGTGCTCTTGGTCTTGGGCCTTTCTCCTCTTCAGCATAGTGATGCCAGCACGGGTGATCTTGATCACCCGTGATGTTATTGTTTTAGTAAAAGAGCAGAAGGTTGGGGGTCAGGAGATCCAGGACCCTGTTCCTGCAGCTGCTATTTGCTGAGTGACCTTGGCTTAGCCTCTTCACATTCACTGCCTCCAATTTTCTGGCCTGTGAAATGCAGAGAAAAGGTTGCACCAACCTAAAGCTATTGTTCTATTTTTACCATGTTCATTTAGAGAAGGGGGTGGAGGGAACTTCCCATCTCTGGCAGGGAGCAGGGAGCAGTAAGCAATCAAGGGAGAGCCAGGGAGCAGGAAGGTTCTCCCATTGTAAGAAGTCTTCCCCTTGGCCTAATGGATTTTTGTCAGCTACCCCCAAACCTAAGTCTGACTTTGCGGTTGGCTATGTGATTCTGACAGGTCCACAAAGGTGTTTTTGGCCAGGACAGGACATGGTGAATTTATCATGTGCCTATATAACTTGTTGCGTAGGAATCAAGAGCAGCCATTTTTCCACCTGGTCCTAAGGAACGTTAACCTGTCCTGGAGACAGCTCCCTTCTTACTAAGCCAGGCGATGCCTGCAGACAAGGTGACTTGAGTTGGAGGGCAGGGGTGAGTACAGCTGATCTCTTCAGCAAGGAGAAGATCTACAGGGGGAAGAGGGCGACAGCAGTTTTAACAGAAGCTCTGGGTCCCAAAGAGATTTTTATGGCTCTGGGTGACTTTGTGGTCTCTGTTAGTGTTGGGTCCAACCTGCATGCTCAGTTTTGGATCTCCCAAAGGCCATCCATAGAGTTGTCATGAAGCAAAACCTATCCTAAGTGAGAAAGGAGGAGGCAAGGGTGGAGCAGAGCCAGGCTGACACAAATGAGGAAATGTTAGCTCATCGATGCCTTCTCTGGATGATGGGTTGTCTCCTTAGACAGCAACTGCTGCTGTCCTTGCGGTTCTGAAGGGCCATCTTCCTGCTCTGTGGATGAAGTGCATGGTGGGGAGTCTGACTGCCCTCATGCCCTATTGTTAACATGGGAGCCGTGCATACCAGACCCTCTATAATAGAATTGGATGGTCTCCCTGTACCCTCAACCTTCAAACAGCAAGGTCAGGCCATTTGGCTTGCGTCACTGCCTCACTGCTCTGTGGACATCTCTGTTCCTGCAGCGGAACTCTAGGACCTCTGAAGACCACTCCAGGCTCAGAAACCCTCGCCTCTGACCATTTTGTTCTATGTGATCTGAGTCCAGGCACTGTTCTCTGCCTGTGCAGATCATTCTGCATGTCAAGGGAGTTTCCAGAACTAAGTGAAGCTCCTGGCCCTGATGAACCCCAGGAGGAGCACAGGAAGGTGCATAGACCAAGAGATGTCCTTGGAGAGGCATTTATTTTGTGAAGAGCCTATAAAATTAGCATATAAATATCTCATTCCCTTCTCCCTCTACCTTCCCCCTACTCCTGTGGTCTTTTCTCCTTAAGGCCCATCTGTTTTTGAGCCATCCGTGGCTTACATCTAACAGCCTAGATCTGAAATTCCACCTCTAGGTTGGTGGGGAGAGGACTAAGATATATGGCCCCAGCTATTTTGATTTCTGGGGTTGGGGATTGGAAAGGGAGGGAAGAACCCCATTTTTGTGCATCACTGTGAGGGAGCTCCAGGCCCTGTCCCTGGAGAGTTAATTGCTGTGCAGGAGTCACAGGCCATACTGGGCAGCTCTGGTTCAAGCCCGCCCTTAATGAGATAACTCTATGATGTGCATAGAACTATCATTCCCACCAGTCTGCTGTTTCCCCCACCCCTCACACACACCAATTCCTGGTTTTTTGGAAGCCCTTACCACTGGCCTATGAGAGTTGATGGCCAGGACTCCTGTTGGCTTCTGGAGCTCTTTTAGATACAACCACCTGAACTCTGGGGAGTAAGCCAACTTTGCCAACACAAACTCTTGACACAATGTCTTTAGCAATAGTAACCCAGAAGATTTTGCTGCCTCTTATTTTATCAGGAAGAGGCCCCAGGGTTCCTTGTGGTTACATTTTTCTGTGCCCAACTATTCTTGGAATTACAACCTCTATTTCTGGCTCCAGTTCAGTTTTCTCTAATTCCAAATTCTGATAATAAATGGATCCATGATGATAATTAAGAGAAAAAAATTATATATATATATTATTTTTGTTAGGACAAACCATCGTAGATTTTTAGCAATGTGTATCTGTGTCCCTCACACTTTTTCCTATTCTGCCTTTTTTTCCTTTTTTTTAAATATTATGTACTATATTTTTAGTCTCAAACACACTATATATTATATATATTTAATTTTTTATATATATAAATATAAATGTTTTAAAAAGTGCAATGTTCTGTGTCGTTTAATGCACAAGTAACTATTACCTAAAAGCCTGCCTGGTTTGGGGTAAAATGGTCTATCTAGGTTTGGAACAAAAGAAGCTTGGGACTGAGACTGCAGAAGTTATGTTTGTGTCACCTCCTGGCTGTACTTCAGACACATTCACTCGTTTGTGATTGTTACAGAAACCTTAGGCCAATTATAACAGTTCAGGAACACATAGCCAGGAGGCGTGTGTGTGTGTGTGTGTGTGTGTGTGTGCGCGCGCGCGCGGCACGGACACACGCCAACTATCATTTAAGAAATTTTTCTGCTTAGGCTTGCATCCCCCCCCCCCCCCCCCGCAATTTATTGTTGTTTTAGAGGTGATATATAGCATGGTTACCTTTACATACATCCAGAAATAAGTACATTTGGGCTGGAAGGTGGCTCAGTGGTAGAGCGCTTGCCTTGCATGCATGAGGCCCTGGGTTTGATTCCTCAGCACCACATAAGCAAAAAGAAAAAAAAAACTGAAGTGGCGCTGTGGCTCAAGTGGTAGAGCACTAGCCTTGAGCTGAAGAGCTGAGGAACAGCACCCAGTCCCAGAGTTCAGACCCCACGACCGGACCCAAAAAAAAAAAAAAAGAAGTATATTTCCTCTCACATTTCCTCTGTTCCCTTATTCTCTCCCATTCCCTCCCTCCTATCTCCACCCACAAGTAGCATAGTTCACTTTCATCAATGTCCAGTACAGCCAGGGCACTTCACTGCTGTACTTTTTTACCCTTTTTCTCTGATTCTGTGATTTCCTCCCACCCTCGCTCAGATGTGGATGTGAATGCACTGTATATGAGGTAGAGTAGAGTCAACAAAAAAAGAAAAATCAAATTAAGGAAAAAGTCTTGCTGGGCACTGGTGGCTCACACCTATAATCCTAGCTACTCAGGAGGCTGAGATCTGAGGGTCGCAGTTCAAAGCAGGCAGGGCAGGAAAGTCTGAGAAACTCTTATCTCCAATAAACCACCAGAAAACCGGAAGTGGCACTGTGGCTCAAGTGGTAGAGTGCTAGCCTTGAACTGAAGAGCTGAGGGACAGTGTCCAGGCCCAGAGTTCAAGCCCCATGACTGATGAAAAAAAAAAAAAGTCCTTTGCTCAAGGATGAATTCTTACCACTCGAGCCACAGCTCCACTTCTGTCTTTGTGATAGATCATTGTCTCAGGGACTTTCCTGCCCTGGCTGGCCTTGAGCTACCAACTAGTAGCTCCATGTTTTGGAACATAGCACCCACATGTCTGTGGGGGGAGGAGGAAGGGCTTTGAATCTGGGGTCCAGACTCCCAAGGAGTTGGAACTGCATACACAGAAGACTGGTTTCACTGACTGAAATGCTATACTTTGAGTGGAACTAAGAAAAATGACCAGGTCTCCAACCTTTTGAACTTGAGGAACAGAATGAAGAAGCAGGGCAGCAGTGTGCACACACAGACCATCCTGCCCAGAAAGCCTAAATCCTCCCAGTTTCGTTAAGTTTGCTGGAGTTTCACATTTGCTCATTTCACAGGAATGCCTGAGGATTCCTGGACTTGCTTTCAGATAATGATTTTGAAGCTGTAAATCATTAATGAAATACAAGGACTTATTGTTTTCCTCATCCAGTTAATGACCAAACAAACTCAAAGATTGTACACAAGGGACCCAGAACACAGAGCCAGAGAGGACATGAGGACTGAAACAAATACTTTAGAGATGACACAAGCCATGGCTTGGAAGTTGGAAGTTACAGCCCAGGAGCTGCAGATGAGGAGAGCAGTGGCTGGAGGCCAGGACCCAGGGCCTGTAGGTCACCTGAGGTAATT